CCCTCGTCGATATAAAAATCGCGCGACGCGAGCTTCCGGCGGAATGGCAGTTCGGAAGTTCGAGCCGTCAGGAATAACGAACGGTATCGTAGTCGTAACGCGTTATACGTCTCTCCCGCCGTCGATTCAGGCTTAACGGACGTACCTAAATCTTTGTCCCACCCGCCTCTCGCCACCGCTGCGTCGCTCGCTATCTTCTCGCCCGCGTCCTAAATAGTCGTTTCGCTTGAAAATTCATTAACGGATTTCTCACGTGTTACGCGCGATATATTTTCCACGTTTAATGACCGCCTTAATGACGCCCGTGCTCTCATTCCACGCGCGATGGAACGCGGCAACCACATTGTGATTACCAATGCCTGAAAAAGACTCGTTACGTCGCGTTTATGAGCTCGCACTTCTCACTCTCGACTATAGGCGATCTAATTAGTCCGAATAGATTCGCTCGACTGCAGTCGAGCAGCGCGTGCGCGCGCGCGCCTGTCCGCTCGCGCTTTCTCATTCCATCTCTTGGTTTCATGCCCGAAGCAATTTCGACCGATTTTACGTGCGCGAGTTTCGCGGGTGGTAGTCGAACTGGCGGCGCACAATCGAAAATCCGGCAAATGCACTGCGGCCACGGCATCGGTTATAATTCGACGGTATCATCGTCGGGAGCTAAGCGCGCGCGGCGTGATTAATCAAAACGATAAACTATTCCTTATTAATAAGCCCTAAAGCGGTTCGCGCCCGAAGAGTGAGGCTATAACTCACGACGGAACAGATACCTTCTGGGCTTCGCATTAAAATTGAAATTAGCCACCCATTTGTCTTCCCGTTTGGCTTAATCGTGACTAGCCAGGTGATTTATGGTTTTCACTTCTGCCGCCGCGAGTGTAGTTTCCCTTCCCGGATACGGCGCAACGCGTAATGCAATTCAAACCCGAAAGCCGGCGGCGAAAAAAAAGTTTCGGCGCCGAGCGCGATGAAAAGCATACCGCTTATAGCCGTATTGCGTGATCGCGTTATAACAGCTGTTGGAAAATAGTTTTGCCCAACTCGCGAAACTCCTTATTACATTCTAAACGCGCGCCGGCCGTCCTGTGATATAATGTCATCGCGTTCTATCACCCCTCCCTACCGCGACACTGGCCGCCGCGTTTATATTCTTGCGCCTTCGTAAACAGTTTATTGCGTTTTAATTGGCATTAACCGCCGTAAACGTGGCGACGCCTGCTCCTGCGCAGGTATGCGGCATTGCAGTTAGCACCGTCCTTTTATACAGTCGCCATGAATATGCAAGGAGGCTCGCTTAGCATAACATTGATCGATCTATAATAACAACGATGACTAATACACGTGGATATTTGTGCATAAATATTCAAGTGGGCAAGGATTGAATTAAGTGCATGATTCTTGGATAGTAAAATGTAATG